AAAAGAAAAGGATTTTGGCTGTAAAAAGAGTTACAGATCAATTTTAGCAGTACAAGCTGCAAGTAGATTTTTCACTTCTCCTTCAAGTGGAAATATAATTTTGAGCTTAATGAAAATAATTTCAGAAAATCAGCAGTTCCCAAACATTTCAAGTTTTTCTCTCTGGGCTTTAGGAATGCTGCATTTTTGTGTTTCAGTATCTAAAATCTTGTGCTGCTGTCTGTCTGTCTGTCTGTCTGCAAGAACTTTAACCTGTTCTTAGAAAAAGCAAAATTCCACCCCTGAGAATGAAGAATCTCAACTCTGGGAGTTCAGATTTGTCTGGCACAAACTGAATTAACAGGAGTGGAGTTGTTTTTGTTGTCAATGATGTTCTTTGTCTGTTCTCATGCTTGTGAGTCATTTAAATAAAAAAACTGAGTTTGCTGATAATCCACACAATCTTTTATTATGGATTGTAATGTTCTACACTGTGACAGAAGACAACACTGATTTCTTCTTAATTTTCTGTGGAAGATGCTGTAAATTGTTTCTAAAGCACCTTATAGAATGCTTCATTAATTGCAGCAATTTTTTGGTAATTTGAATATTGGCAAAGCATTGCCAAGGTGTTCTGGGACATTAAGTTTTCCTTATTGTTAACAAATTACATTTCAGAAGCAGGATTATTTATTTATTGCCTAGACAAAACTTATTTATTTAAAAAATATATAAAATAATTTATAAAAATTATTTATTTCCAAGACAAAACTTAGCAAGTCAGGAATCTTGGATTTGGAGCAGTTGATCAGAAATCCATGGAGCTGCTTTAATTTCAATTCCCCTTGGCCATTTTTTGTAAAAGCATTTTGCTTCTGTGACATTCTTAATTGCAATATTTTAGGAAAAGGCACCAAATTTTGTTATTTTCCCTCAGTGTTGGTAGTTACCCTCTTTTCAGATGAAGTAATGGAAGGTACCTTTGATAGCAGCTTCAGCTGAAGAGCTTGGAAGGGAAAATTCAAATTCCTCACTTGGAAGCAGCAGAGGTGGAAAAAACTTGAAGTTTATTTAATAGGGAAAATTTTCTTCAGATTAAACAAATTCAGTCAAACATGAGCTGAAAAACTGGGGAATTTGGGATAATTTAGGGTTTTTTTCCTCATCAAAAAAAGGAGGCACTGCATCCCTGTGTGGTTGGAATTGATCATTTCCCACAGAGATTCAATCTCCTGGCCAACACCAAAATTCTTTTTTCAACATTTTACACACTGATCAGAATTAGATTAGAATTTTTAAAATTCAACTGTTACAGTTAAATATTAAAAAATATTTCAATATTTCAACTTGTTACACAGTTATCAGAGGCCTTACAATGAAATATTTCAACTGTTACAGTTGAAAAAATATTAAAATATTTTTCTTTTCATAGTAAGGCCCCTGATATCTGTGTAACAAGTTGAAATATTAAAATATTTTTATGTTTCATAGTAAGGCCTCTGTGTAACAAGTTGAAATATTAAAATATTATTTAATATTCAACTGTAACAATTGAAATATTAAAAT